GATACAAAAGTTACATTTCTTGTTACATAGGTCTTGCTTTATCTTGGTCTTAGCCACCTTATCTTTGACAAAGGGACCAAACATGTTCACTTGAAGAAAGATAGCCTTTTCAACAAATGATGCTGGAAAAACTGACTCTCCATGTGCTGAAAACTGACTGAAACTTTCACTGACCTTCACTGTTTTCTTGACTTCAGGTGTTTCCATAATAACCACACACATTGCTCCAAGGTAAATATTCCCTGAGGATTCCTTGGTGTTCATTATAACCCATTTAACAAATGGCAGTGACTCTATGTTGCAGGACAACTATGGTCCCAAACTAAGGATCCAGACAACATGGCAGACATATGGACAAGCACACCAGAAAAGATACTCTGATCTAAGCCCAGGCTGTGTACGCAGCAGAGAAGCAGAGGTTCACATTCTTTCCTGGTCTGTCCATGACTTTGAAAATGTGGTCCATTCTCCACTACCTCCCATCTCCAGGGGTCCTCCCTTGGCTTCCCTGACCCTGGGCTGGACCAGTCCTCCTCATTTGCTTTCAGGGACACCTTCCCATTTTCCTAGCAAATCCATTTGCATAGGATTTCTGCTGCCTAATCCAGGGGAGTTCAGGCTGCACGGCAGGACCTGAGGATGCTAAACTGGGAGAGTATCAGCTCTGTGTCACAAGAACCCATAGACAAGCATGTAAGCATTTGCTCAGTGGTCACGTGTCCCTCATGAGAATATTCCTAAGGGTAGAAATCAGCCTGGTTGATGTAGCATGTGCTAGGTATTAAAAGGGGGCGTGATTGGAATTAAGGGATTATTCTAGAATATCCACCTAGGGGTGAAGTCAGGGCTTGGGGATGAAAATTGTTTGGTTACAGTCTTCTCAGGGTTGCTCTCCTGCACTTCCACTTCTGTCATCCTTTGCTATGACAGAAAACCTCTTCTCAGAGTCACCCAGGGTTTACCATGCGGGAAACTATGTAATAACGATGTTTCTGATCAGCTATTTAAACATACAGCACTGGAACCAAGAAACACACTGGTACCAAGGAAAGTAAAAGCTCTTCCTTGGCTTTGGGGCCAATTTTAACACACACTGCCAAGGTTCGCAGGGAAGTAACAGGCATGCAGTAGGTACCCGTGCTCTAATGGCAAAAGCACTGAGACAAAACTGAGTTCTCCAAACAAGCCCTCCCATCTAGTGTGTGTTACAAAGATAAGCGTCCATCCAAGACAAGGTGACCAGGTGTGATACAGGAAAGGTTATTTTTCTCTTTCCTTGTAAGTTTTGTTCAGAATGGTTTTTTTGTTTGGTTTTTTGGGGGTTGCCATGTAGTTCAGGTTGGCCTTGAACTCAACTCATTATATAGACCAGGCTGGCCTTGAACTTGTGGCAATCCTTCTGTTTCAGCCTACAATGAAGTTTTTAGCTTTTGAATATATAATACTTCAACATAATTCACTTTCAAAAGTATAAATAAATTGCCTTCCAGCACTAAGTAAATAAACAAATAACCTCAAAAACATTTTGCTAAGTGATAGAAACCAGACAGCAAAGGCGGTGTGTTACATTATTTATTTGTGTGAAATGTCCGGAATGAGTAATTCCACAGAGGAAAATCAAAGATTGGTGGTTGCTGGGGTTGGCGGAGGGGTAATGAGGAACAACTGCTTAATGAGCAAGGAATTTTATTGTGCAGTTGTGAAAATAGTTTGGAACTAGGTAGAAGGAGTGATTGCCCACACTGGGCACATAGTAAGTGCCACTGAATTGCTCACTTTATAATGGTTAATTTCATGTTAATGAATTCTTCTTAATAAGCTACTTTCAAGTCCAGATATACATATATTTTTTAAATGTATTTGGTGCAGGGTCTATAGGGTCTCACTATACGGATCAGATTCATAGTGATCCTCCTGTTTTTCGCATCCCAAGAGCTGGGATTACAGACATGCACCACCACACAAGCCATCAGGGATCAAACCCCAGCCACTGTGCTCTACCTAAGCAGGTGCTTTATTCCACTGAGCTATTGGGCCAGACCGATAACTTCCTCTTAAGAGTTAACTGAGATCCAGGTGTGGTGGTGCATGCTCACAACCTAGCACTTGGGAGTTTGAGGCAGAAAGATCACTTAGAGTTTAAGGTCAGTCTTGGCTGCATGGTGAGTTCAAGGCCAGTGTGAACTACATAGTGAGACTTTGTCTCAAAAAACCAAGAAATAAGTAAAGTTAATTGAATAAATGTCTCTTTCCTTCCCCCTCACAATTCTATCCATGAGGTAACCGATGTACCCAATTTCTCGCATTTTTCTTTAGAAATAGTGTATGCATATTCCACAAAATAATACATATCCCTTTTCACACAAATGGCATCCTGTAATGCACACTAAAGTGTATTCTGTACTTGGGGATCCTGCTCCTTAACAATAAATTTTGGTGGTCACCTGTGCCGATACTAAACTGTGCCATCACTTTTAGCAGCTGCAATTTATTCCAGTATGAGTATGTAACATACTTCATTTAGCTGTCCCCCGCCCAACTGATGCACTGTTAGATTTTTTACAATTTTTTTCATAGAAATAACAAAGAACAAGGAGCTTCAACCACAGGCTGTTTTGTATAGAAGCTGTATCTCAAGGCTATAGAATGCATTCTGAGAAACCAATGCACTGGGCAAAAGCGGATGTACTCTTATTATTTTGATACAGTCAATTGCCTGGCTTAAAGTGTGGCTTGCTCACCAATCAGTGATGTACAAAAACTCCTATTTTCTCATAATCATTGGCAAAGAAGTAACTTTTCTTTGTACCAGATATTTCTTTATACCAGCTGCAATGCAGGAGATATAAGATTTTTTCAAAGACCCAACCTTCACATTCTTTTCTCTGTTTTGTTTTGTTTTTCTGTGCTTTCAGAGAATCCTAGGCTAGATCTTTCCTTTCTTTGATCAAATCCACTTACTCAACTATTCATTTCTATGCAATCAAGATAGTTCAGCCAACCTTGCTGAATATTCAATTTGTGAGTAAATTTTGCACGGCCTTATTTTCTGGAAACAAAATCTTTAAAGAGCTGTGAGCACAAATGATTACAGTTTAACAATAACCCACAACTGTCAGACCAACTCACAAATGATTACAGATGCATTAATTTCTTAGTCTAGCAGTGTTTAAGTAGCCTTGATGATGAATACTGTATGAAAAAATTCAGATCTACACAGGAGCACAATCCAATATATATTAACTATTTCCTATTTGCAAAATATTATGTCAACTCCTATGGGGGATAAAACACAGAATGAAACAGGACAGAGCAGGAATATTTGGGAATGTCTGAACCAGCATGGTGAATAATGGAGGAGTAAGAAGAGCTCTAGGAGGAAAGGTGTTCCACGTACCCACTGCAAAAGGGTACGGGTGTAGGGCATGAGGGGTGGTGGACGGACCCAACGGGTGAGGGTGTCAAGCAACAGAATTAATGGATGAATCTCTTAACTCTAGAGAGCATTTTGCTGCCCTTTTGTTGATTTTCTTCACAGTGATATATTTTATAAGTTTTGGTGTCTGCCTTTGATAATCCAGATCAAATGGATCTTTCCTAGTCATCACTAACCCATATTCACTTCCTTCTCCTGTCTGAGGGGCCCCCGACATGCAGGGGTAATAAGCAGCTGGGGGTTTAGAAGACCTGATTCAACCCTGCAGGACTAATCTGGGATTGTCTGCTCATGACCAGGTCCTCTAATGGAAGCCAAGTGGTCAGCCTTACATTGAGGACACTCGACCAAGCACAATATGAAGGGCAACATCTTAAAAACAGTTCATGTAATTATGCTCTCTCTCTCTGTCTCTCTGTCTCTCTGTCTGTCTGTCTCTCTCTGTCTCTCTCTCTCTGTCTCTGTCTCTCTGTCTGTCTCTCTGTTTCTGTCTCTCTGTCTCTCTCTGTCTCTCTCTGTCTCTCTCTGTCTCTCTCTCTCTCTGTCTCTGTCTCTGTCTCTCTGTCTCTCTTCCATAGATTGAGCCCAGGACTTTACATGTGCCAACCATGTGATCTACAACTCAACTACTTTTTTAAAAGCTAAGTATTTGTTATTTAGATATATACAGTATTTGTATTTGCTTTTTGTGGAATCATTACACACTTTTAGACAAAATGCTAGTAAACCCAGTAAATTACTGGATCAAAATGTTGAGTGGGCTAGAAATGAATACAAAAGTGAAACAGCAAAGTTAGTGGTGTTCTGTAGAAGTTTATTCAAAATGTAGACTCACGATAAGAATTCACTTAAAAAATAAATGTAGGGACCTGTGAGATGGCTTGATAGAATAAGCGCTTGCCTGGTAAGCACAAGGGTCTGAGATCAATCCCCAGTTCTGAAAAAAAAAATTTAGGGGCTGGCAGTGTAGCTCAGTGGACTAAGCGCTTGCTTAGGTAAGCATAGGGGCCAGGGTTCGATCCCTGGCTCTACATGCTGCACCAGCCCACCTGTGGGCTCGCTGAGCTGGCCATGGAGTCCAGGCATGGTGGTGCGTACCTGTAATCCCAGCACTAGAGAGGCAGAAATCAGGAGGATCACTATGAGTCTGGGCTGTGTAGTGAGACCCTGCACAAAAAAACCCTAAAAAAATAATAAATGTAATTCTAGTTGAATAAAATAGGGTGCACCGTTACTGCCAATGTGCTAAGCACTTTGTTAGCTCCTAGGGCTGAGGAAATAATTCAAAGTTATTCATGTGAAGAAGTCATTCATGGCTCTGAACTTAAAAAATCCACTGAGAGCAAATAATTATTCTTTAAACTTTTCAGATTTTTTTCCCCTAACAATGGCTATATTTTTATTTCCAAAGACTAATCATTCAAACTGCAACTTGTAGATAAAACTTTAAAAGCAAGCTTTCACATTAAGGATTGCAGGTTTTCCGATTTGATTTGAAACTGTCTCATTGCTATCTGTTTATCAATAAAACTTTGAGAAAAAAAAAAAGAAAAGAATTGCAGGTTTTTCTCTCCTGTCTCATAGAAACAAATCCTGAAAATATTCATCAAATTCTTCTTCCTGTGACTTTTCATCTGTTTCTGGTAGTGGGCCCTTCCAAAGTTCAAACTCTGAAGCACTTTCTTCCTCATCACAGTTTTTGTTTACAGAATTTTGTTTTCTCTGAGGATGAATGCCCTTTATCTTCCTTCTTGGAAGCTTCTTTAGGAGACAACCTGGATTTTGCATGTGATGACTCCTCATAGCCTTTTTTGGTTTTGGCCTTTCTTTTGCCAGACTTGATTTCTTTTCTCCTGTGGCGAAAATTTAATTTAAGGGGACAAGAGGCTTTATCCTCTAGTCAATGATTGTTTTTTAAAAAGCCAAGAATGGTGGTATACACTAATAATCCTCACTATTCAGGATGCTGAAGCAGGAGAGCTTTAGTTCGAGGCCAGTCTGGACTAAATAGCAAGACCAGGTCTCATGGAGCTCTTTTCATATGCTCAGTGTAACTAAAATTAACTTCCCAACTCTTTAATCCTTCTTTTGCATCACAACATTTATTTCCACCAAAAACTGACCTTTTCCTGAAATTACCTCTTTTTCTACTTGCCACCTAAATCCAAACTTATTTTCTTTGTGTCTGCTGAGATCTGCTGTGCAATATTCCTTGGATAATTTATCATAATATTTCTTTGCAAGTTTCTTCTCCCAAGTCATCTCCACTTCATCCTTTTCATTCCACAGGAATCTATGATTTTCTCATATAACATCTAAGCCTGTCTTGTCCTTTTCCCCCAAACGCCTGAAGTTGTCTTTTTTGCCACCACAGTATAAAATATAGTCACTTACAAACTTTGTATGCCTTTGATAAGCACCCATTGCTATGAGATGAAACCTTCTATTTCTTGCTTCTTCCCTAACCAGTAATTCTGCTGCAACTTGCTGAGTGGCCATCTTTCCATGCTTTTCTTTCTGAAATGGCTTTTGGAGTAATAAGTCATCTTTAATGTTCCTTTTTTTCTTTCTGCTAGACTCCCCATGTTCATCATCACTAAAATCAGAGTCTTAGCCTTGGTGACTGGTAATCTGAAAAGGTGATTCAAGCTACGAAATCAACTGACAACAGCGAGAAAAACTCAAAAATGGCAAAGCTGAGTACTTCTGGAATCTGTCATCGAAAAAAAAAATATATAGATATAAATGCTCCTCGGAATGTTTCGCAGCCTGCCCGCATGCACGGACCCGCAGCCTTCCTTACACATCCTGCCTGCTGTGCCTCCCCATGAGCTGTCCCCTGAGCCCATTGCAGGACAGCCAGCACCTTTCTGGCCTACTCTGCTTTCCATTACATTAAGCAAGCCTGGAATGTTTTTCCTCGGAGAAGAACTGGTGTGAACACCTGAACACCTGCCTCTTATCCTCTTCAGAAAAGACTGAGGTGCACTTTTCCACTGAGTCTTTAAAAAAAAAAAACTATGGTAAAATATATCTAATATAGCCAGAAATGGTGGCCCGTTCTGTCATCCGAGAAATTTGGGAAGCAGAGGCAGAAGGATTGCAAGTCCGAGGCCAGTCTGAACAATTTAGCAAGACCCTATCTCAAAGTAAGAAGAGCTAAAGATGTAGTTCAGCTACATAACTCTTGCCTATCACATGACAGGTCCTGGGTCCAGCACCACACAGAAGTACATACAAGAGTCATCATTTTAATCATGTTTCAGTGTACAGTTCTGTAGTGTCAAATGTATCCCTAACATTATGCAGACAATCTCCTGTACATTTCATCTTCCAGAATGGAAACTGTTCTTCTTGAACAATTTCCCACTCACTTCTCCTCCAGCCCCTGGCTGGCAACCACCAATCTTCTATTTCTATGCCTTTAACTTCTCTAAGGGGGGGCCAGCCAAATAGCTCAGTGGATTAAAGCGCTTACAAGCAGGCACAGGGGCTGAGGGTTTGATCCCCAGGCCTGCCGTGCTGATCCCACCCCCAGGGTGCACTGAGATAGCAATTGAGACTGGGCATGGTGGCACCTGCCTGTAATCCCAGCTCTTGGGAAGCTGTAAACAGGAAGATCATTATGAGTCTGATCTAGTAGTGAGACCCTCAACATCCTGTAGACCCTTCCCTAAAATATACAACAACAAAAACTTTTTAGGTGGAATCATATGTGTTTGTCTTTTGTGAGTGGCTTATCTAATATCTCAGAATGGCCTCAGGAATTATCCTGTTGTAGTATGTATAAAAATCTCCTTTTCAAGACTGAAAAACGTCCTATCATATGTGCAGACCACATCTGGTTTGGTGCTGCCCCCTCCAGTGTCCCAGTGGATACCTGGGTTGCCCCAGCTTCGGGCTGCTGTGAATAGCTCTGTGATACATGTGCACGGATGGAATCTGTCGTCTGCTGGTTTCCATGGCCTCTTGGGATAGGTGCTTGCTGTGTCCTTCAGCTGCAGTAAACTGAGAGGATCCCTCACTTCTCAAAGAGCAGTGAGTCAGGGATTGGCAGGGACTAAGCTCCTTGCCCTCCATTTCATCCCTGTTTGTGTCTCCCACACATGTGGGTGGCACAGGTGGCACTCTGAGGGCAGTCAGTGTCCTCTCAGCTCTAAAGAAAGTTGCTGGGAGTTTCCACCACTTCTGGTTCCCTCGTGTCTGTCTATGCATCTCAGTAGGGCTTCTCCTTTCTGTGATGAGGGAAGTTCAGGTTTAAGCTCTAGAAAACAAACCGCTCTTCAGGAAAACCGCTGCTCTTCCTCCTCCTGTTCCACGTTGCTCAAGTCGGCAAAACATTCCGCCTTCTCGCGGAGGTGCCTCCTGAGGCCTCACAGCCGTGCGAATGAGGGATTCCTCTCAGTGGGCTGGTTGGCACCACTCAGCCCTACCCGTTTAACATGCATGACTCAATTACACAAGAGTTAGCTAATGAGGGATGGAAAAGAAGTTACAGGTTAAAACAAATGGCGCCTAAATGAATCAAGGGCAGCCTTTCAGATGCCCACCATTCAACAAAGAGCTGGCAAGACGCTTTCTTCCCTGGGTATGAATCATCCAGATGAAAAAAGGAAACCAGGGCCACCTACGTTCAGAGCTTGTACAGTATGACCTCGAGGCCCAATGTCTACCAGGAGCTTCCTAGCAAAAGGCCAAGCCCCAAAGAATAAAAGGGCTTGCACATAGGCATTAAATAATTCTCTTAGAGATGCAAATTTCTAATTAGTTACTGTGGCAACTGTAGCGGCCTAGGAGTAAGCCCCTTACACAATGAACCTGAGAGTTCACGTTTTTGATTTACTATAGCCCTGTAAGTAGCAAGGAGAAAGAAAATAAATATTGCTTTAACTGTGACAAGAGAATAAAGTACAACAAGTGAAGGGATTCCATTCTTTTGTACCAATTCCTACAGGTCTAAGAGGGACATTAAGCTTGACATGCAGCCTGGCAGCAGAGAGAGGACACACTCCCAAAGGCTTGATAAAATCAAGACTTCCATAAACATGATCCAAATATGAACAGATTATTTCCTAACTTGCACTGATGTTTTTACTTCTTTAAGAGAATCAGCTCTAGGACGTCTATCAAACCAGCATGTGTTGATGGAGCATTTTTTTTTTTTTCTAATTTTGTACCACTGATTTTTTTGTATTTTTTTTAAAATTATGAATAGTTCTTCAAACTTTTTACATACTGTGAGGAAAACTTTTTACTTAATATGCTTATGCAGTTGGAATATCTACTCATTGGATAGTAGTCTATTCCTAATTTTGAATAATACATGAAAAGTAGTTTGCAAAAAGAAGTCTATAGCATTGAAAATACAGTAGTATAAAGGGTAGGATATAAATTTTTAGGATCCCATGAACTGAAGAAGAAAATTGTACCAATAGACTTTTTAAAGTGGTTTTTGTTGTTGTTTGTTTGTTTGTTTTGTTTTGGTGGAACTGGGGATTGAACTCAGGCCGTTACACTTGCCAGGGAAATGTTTATTCTACTGAGCCATCTCCCTGGCCCCTTTAAAGTATTTTTAAGACTATTTACAATAATGTTTATGAAAAGTTTTATTCATCTTATAGCAGCAAAAAAAAATAATTATTGACAACAAATACTGTTGTGGGGAGATTACTACCATCTAGAATCTTTCCTTAATGTTGTAAAATAAAGTTGGTGTTAATATTTGCTCAGAAATTGAAGTAAACCAAACTACCTTATGATTGTGCTTTGCTTTTATTGTGAACTTTTGAAAATCAGTAAATAAAATATTAATTGAAGCTTTGGACAATTCTTGCTCCACTTGCGCGGGGCCTCTAATTTCCAGCAGCCTGCTCTGTGCCAGATATGGAAACTTACACCACCTTTGAATTAAGAATGGGTGAACAACTAATCTGTAAGTGAGCCAGTGAGCCTGCAGAAGCGTTTCTAGAGTCAGTCAGGTCAGCCAAAGAAGTGTCTTCACTGCACACAGAGCAAGAACTGTCTCAGGGCTCAGCTCACGACACTCACTCATCACTGTTCCGTATGGGGCTCACTCTTATTTATATCAGCATTTCCTTGTACTGAATAATAAAAGAAACCTACTGCCCCATATGGAAGTTAGAATTTTATTACAAACTTCCCTGTGCTGGTGTAGCTCATCTCCGTGCTCTCCTCCTGCCTCCTCAAACCACATCAGCCACTGCCCTGCATCTTTCCTGGGTGATTTGAATGCTCTTCCCACATCTATGTGTATTTTTAAAAGTTATATTGTTCATTTTTAACTTTTACCTTATTTCCCAAAACCTACATTTTCATTCAATGTTATCTTGCTAGTATTACTGGCATGCTAAATCCCAGTCATTTGGCTGATTATATTGCATATAGACTGCATTTATTGTCCTTGTTGCTATAAAAAGGGCAAGCAACATATTCTGCCAGGGACAGGAATGGCTGATACCTTACTAGGCGGGGAGGAGCAAAGACAAAGAGCAAAGACAAAATAGTGCAAGAAACAGCTTTCACACTGCCTAACACATGCTCACCCACTCACCAGCAGTGTGCAAGAGTTTTAAATCTTCCGTCTGCTGTACATTTCCATTTCACAGTAACAGGAGCTGACTGTATTCCCCATCTGGGAGCACTGCCTCCAAAATGGAGAGAAATACATCAAGCAAGTACAGTGCTTTGTTCTTCATGGAAGGAGGCAGGAGCTACGGCTAATCCTTTCTCTTAGAGGTTGTTCCAGTCTTGGCTGGCTGTGTCTTCCAAACTGAAATGTCATTAGGCATCATCCATGGCACCTGCCACTTGCTTCTTAACAAGTCCAATTTGCAGTATGTCATCAACATACCTGGTGTGATCAAAAGTGATGGGGAATGTGCTGTTGTGGGCCACCGTTCACAAGATAAGGATCCAGGAGAAACGGTTCATCCAGCCTTCGTAGTGGTGTGTGACAAGTTTTACTTGCCCAGTAGACTGGGCCAGTTGTGAGCTACACTTGGCTGAAGGTGTGTTTAGGATCTGCCCTAAGTTATAGTGCATGAACAGTGCATTAGTGTAAAATTTTGGCAATTTTCACTGAAGTTGTACAATAATGCCTCTTCAAATTCCAGCTTTTACAGACCTGTCATAATTAGAGGTGAAACTCAGGTGTGTCGTTATGATGATGAGACCAAGATTCAGAATTCTCAGTGTGAAACATGATTCTCTTTGTTGAAAGAAAAAAATGTCAATCACCTGTCCTAGTGCTGTCTACACTGGGACAAAAGTCCAGCATCCTCAAGTTAAAGGAGGCTCACGGTTGCAGTCTGTGGTCTGCCAGCTCCCAGGCAGGAATAGCACAGAGGGAGGGACCACCTTGGAGGGCAGCACTCACATCGTGGAGGCAAGGAAGCAGAGGGAGACCAGAGGAACTGAGGAGGGAGAGGTACCCTTCCAGGGCCGGGCCCCAGGGACCCACCTCCTCTGACCAGGCTTAGCCTCCCAACACCAGATAAGCTGAATCCTGACCCAAGTCAGTATGCTCCAATCCCCACGATGAAGTCACCTTTCAAAACCACCCCCCC